GTTTAGGGATTGGGGTTTAGGGTTGAGGGCTTAGGGTTTAGTGCATGGGGTTTCGGGTTTAGGGCCTGGTTAGGATACGGAACCTGGATAATTCGAAGAGGGGTTTGAGCTATTATAATTTTTTGGTGACGATAGAAAAGCTAAACCCGAAACCCCAAACCCCAAAACCCCAAATCTAAGACCCCAAACGCTAAAACCCTAAACCCTAAACCCTAAACTCTAAAACCCTAAACCCTAAAACGATAAACCCTAAACCCTAAACTCTAAAACCCTAAACCCTAACACGATAAACCCTAAAACCCCTAAAGCCTAAAACGATAAACCCTAAAACCCTAAAGCCTATAAAGCCTATCCGACCTCGATCTTCGAAACACAGCCGTCCAGCGTTTAGGGGTTTCGAGACGTAAGAAGTCTCGAGCCCTCCAACCCCCAAAAACAAAACAGAACTCTTAGCCCCAGAAATCCTAAAGTCCTGAACCTCTTTAGGGTTTAGGGTTTAGGGTTTAGGGTTTAGGGTTTAGGGGTTTAGGGTTTAGGGGTTTAGGGTTTAGGGTTTAGGGTTTAGGGGTTTAGGGTTTTGGGTAACTTTGGGCTTAGGCTTTAGGGTTTCGCCCCACACTGAGACAGAAAGCCGTTGGAACCTGCCTCTGAAACCTCCTCAGACTCTCCTTCCCCAAGCCTCGACAACCCACAAAATCCCCACTCCCTAGCACAGGCGCCTGCATACTTAGCAGTGGTATTCTTGGTTTAGGGTTTAGGGTTTAGGGTTTAGGGTTTCCCCAAATATATTCGGGAGTATACAAACTCAGAGCATGATGCAAATCATTCGGACCTTACAGCCACCCTCACAGAATCCCGTTTACCCTAAACTTCCGGTAAATCCTAGACCCTAAACCCCTCAACCCTGAACCCCTAGACCCTAAACTTTCGGAGTAGGGTTCCGGGCAAGAGCAGCATAGGCAGGCTTGGATTCAGGGTCGGCGTCTGAATAACGCAGGGGCCTTAGTGATTAGAGGTAAAGGGTTCCATAAGGGATCTATGATAGGGTTCTGTATTAGTGGCCTTAAGATTTAGAATAGGGTTTGGGGTATATGATAACTGGGAATAAGGAACCCCCCAAAGTAGTATAGGTAATTATTGAGGCACCTATAGTACCCTTATCCTACCTGAATAGGTTTCTGCTGGCTTGAAAAACTGTGGCTTTGAAGAAGCATGCTCTTAACGGTTTCTGTTGGGTGTTGGGTTTAGTAGGTTTAGGTCTTTTGGACCTAGGGTCTGCGAGGACGTCTTCCAAGCGTGACTCTGCCCCGAAACCCTAAATCTGAGACTCATGATCACTGCTCTCTCGTTAGACCCCCGGATGCCTGACAAGCTCAACCGTAAGCCTCCGCCCCTAAACCCTAAATCCTAAACCCCTAAACCCTGCACCCTAAATCCTAAATCCCGAAATCCCTAAATCCCTAAACCTAACAAAACCTACAGGAGTCGAGGACCCATAAATGCAAAAAGCCTCCCAAAGCCCTGCAAACCTCTGGCAGGCCTCGCCGATTTGGGTTCAGAGTTTAGGGTCTAGGGGTCTAGGGTTTAGGGGGTCTAGGGTTTAGAGGTTTAGGGTTGCAGGGTTTAGGGGTGAGGGCCTAGGGTTCTAACCCAAGAAGCCCAAAAGGCCTGAAGCTTGTAAAACCGGCTTAAAGCATTTTCTGAAGCCGCAAAACTCCAAAGTCAAACCCGCCCGAGAAGACCACAACCCTCCACAAAGTCAGAGGCAAACTCATCGTAAAGCCTACGGGCGGTCCGATCCCCGAACCCTAAACCCTAAACCCTAAACCCCAAACCCTCAACCCCAAACCCTAAACCCTAAACCCCAAACCCTCAGCCCTAAACCCTAAACCCCAAACTCGAGGCCCACAACAAAGCCAGAGGCTCAGCGTTCCCGGCGTGGAGCTGAAGTTCCTTCCAAAAAAGGCTCAGGGTTTAGGTTTAGGCTTCGGTTTAGGGTTTAGGGTTTATGGTTTACGGTTTAGGGTTTAGGGTTTAGTTCGCCAACCGCTCATGTATCTCCCGTCAGACTACGTGCGACGCCGGATGTTGCAGACCTTGCCAACACGAGCCCCATCTACAACCCCAGACAACAACCCCTAGCCCCAAAGTCCACCCTGATGACCTAAACTCGCGAACCTAAATCCCCAAACCTTCAACCCTCAACCCTAAGCCCTAAAACTCTGAACCTCACACTTTGAAACACCGAACCTTTCAGCTTTGGCCGACACACATCATTCCGGCTGTGGCTCATGTACTAAAGCCTGAACAGCTAAGGCATGTTAAATATGGGAGTTCAAAGTGCTTTTATCGAAGCTTGACGGGGATGGAATATATTGGCATAGGGCTTCGGGGCGCATTCCAGGAATATGTAAATACATACACACATACACACATACTTGCATGCATACATACATACATACATACATACATACATACATACATACATATATATATATATTTATTTATTTATTTATATGTATACATATACACACATATACTTGTATGTATATATAGATATGAGTGTTTATTGTGTATATATGAACCAACGATGGGAGATGAGTTATCGCGAACTATTCAGAAGTCACTATTAGATGGGAGCTTTGGGCAGTAGTTCGCGCGGAGATCGTTATATGCAGTTGTGTTCTGTAGTTGTAGCTTGCCGTATCTTCAGGCTCTGTATGCGACCTTAGGAATAACATAGACTATCCATGGGAACGTGCGAGACCTATACTTCTATACCCTAAACCGAACATCTTAAACCCGATGATGTAATTCGTCTCACGATTTTCTGACCCATGAGCCCGACGATCTAGATCTTAGGTATGAGGCTCTGCATGAAGGCTAGGCAAATCTCCGATGGTTTAGCATCGTTGCTGGAGTAGTTGGATCAGTTTTCGCTTGGAGGGGGATATGATCGTATCATTAGAATCAGAAGCTCGAAGGCTCTAAGGAATAGAATTGATACTTCTCCTAACCCCCCCCATAATAAGGAAGATACCATAGTTCCCATAGCTTAGGGTCCTTAAGGTAATGCAGGATTATATCATCAACAGCATTAAGCCTCCGAGTGTAAACTCGGACTGGAATCCTCCAGGATCGGGTCTTGCAAACCCTGTGCTTGTGCGCTCGATCCTGGCCAGCAGCTGCAAAGCCACGGGGCATCTGCACCTGCGGGAGAAAGGGGTCCCACAGGAAACCCAAAGATTGCCTAATCTAGAGATCGGAGAAATAGTAGTAGTAGTAGTAGTAGTAGTAGTAGTAGTGGTAGTAGTAGTAGTAGCAGTAGTAGCAGTAGGACTCCTTTGAGCTCCTCAACCCTCAGCACAGCTATACAACCATATACATCAAACCCCAATTCTCATCAATAAGACCGCTGTACCGCACCCGAAGAGATCACCCTAAACCCTAAACCCTGAACCCTTAACCCGAAACCCCTCAACCCTGAAACCCCTCCCAGAGTTTCTGTTCGGAAGCTTTAGGATTTTGGGTCGAGGTCGTTGGAGTCGTCGTACGTGATGCCTGAATTCTGACTCTTGCTATTGTAGGGGCCTTATTAATTATCACAGGGTGTTGGTGTATGTTGTCGCAGAGTTATACTGAGGAGCATTGAGGAATAGTATGGACAAACAGTACCAAGTGTCCGGGCTTCATTACTCCCCCCAAAACGACCAATTGCACCCTCAGTCACCTCAGCCGTCTGGGGTTGAGGGCTTGTGGGGTTCAAGGGTGGATCGGAGAAACAACAACCCTAAACCCTAAACCCTAATCCCTAAACCGTGGCCTTAGGGCTGAAGCCCAGAAAGCTTCGAGTTTGGGGCTTTGCTCTCCATCTCTTGCACAACGAACCGACAGGACGTTTAGGGGTTTAGGCAAGTGATCGTGCTGGTGTTGCTTCTTCTGGAATAGACATATGCAAACAGCCAAGATGGTCATGAAATTGGCAAAAACTCCCCTCATTATCGGTGGAGAGACTAATGACTAGTAGTAGGGACTAGCGTATGGATATCATCGCAGCAATGACCGTGTGTCGTAGTTAGATGATAGTGCGGCATCACAACTGCTGCAAGAGGCAGAGGTACTTGGAGGATCATGGGACTTAGTAAGTAAGGCTATGTCCCCTGATTGGGGTTATAAGTACAGTTACCTTAGTTATAACCCTACCTACTATTTCCCATGATCCTTTAAGTAGTCCTGACACGAGGATCATATCATCAAATACTCAGCTTGCGAAAGGGCAGAGACGGAAACTGGGTTTAGGGTTTAGGGTGATTTGGGGGTCAAGTGCTTCTACAGACTACTGTAGACCTTACCCAAAGGCTCATGGACCCCATAGTGAAAGCCCAAACCTTAGCCCCCAAAGCCCAAACCTTCCCCTAGAAAGCCCATAACAGCAATAAGAGCCTAAGGGTAAGCAGCGAAACCTCTTAGGTTCACAACCCCACAGACCCAACACCTAAACCCCAAACCCTAAACCCTAAACCCCAAACCCTAAACCCCAAACCCCAAACCCTAAACCCTAAACGTTGCCTCGGCAAGCGAAATGGCAGGAGTTGCAGCATCCAGGCTCTTGATCTACTTAAAGGAAACTACCGGTGGGGAGTTTAGGGTTTAGGGTTTTAGGGTTTAGGGTTTTAGGGTTTAGGGTTTAGGGTTTATTTATAAGGTTTAGGGTTTAGGGTGGGGAGTTT